TAAAAGAATACATTTATCCTTGAATTACTGTTTATAAAGGGAAATACTTCTAAAACAGACCAGCACTACACAGAATGCATAGAATCACAGTTTGGGACAGGGCTGAGAAATAAAAGCTTAAGACTTACCGCTTCTGCATAGGCCTTTCCAATTCCATCAGTAGCTCCTGTGATAACTATAAAATAGAGAGGGCAGGGGAGAGAATAGAATTGTGAGAGTGAATTAAGATTTCCAAAGTACAGAATAGCATAAATAAACAAATGCTAGATACTAATATTCTCATTACAAGAGGGCTTTAAGGATGTTCTTCCATTTTTTTCTTCTAATTCAAGCATTGTAATGCTTATCATCTCCCTCTAAATTAGAATTCAAGACTGGTGTGAATGAATTAACAATATCTGGATGCAAATTATTCCATTACAAGTTGACATCAAATAGCAAGTTCCTTATAGCCCTAACACAAATTGCCAGTCAGCACTGCTTCACAATAGGCAAAGTAACCTGGCTTGTCTGAACTGGGTTTTTTGAGCAGGAGTAGAATGTAGAACATGGGTAGACTGTTTTGCCTGGGGCTTAGACCATGGGATGGAAGCTGAAACAGAACCAGCTTCAGTGATATTTTTGGACTCTGCAGCTCCAATATCTGTTCTAAAGTCTCTGAATCTTAAACAGCATTATCACTGTTGAACAAAGGTTGGGATATCCCAACCTTTGCCTGAATCATGAGCACTCTTCTAACCTCTCCTATCTCATATAAGATATATTATTTCTTGGTTTTGGAACCAGGTATTAGCTTAGATATTTCTTTGCATTCTGGGATTTCTGCAGAACTAATTTATGACAGTGAAATGGGACAGCACAGGAATATTCAGTATAGCAGCATGAAGTCAGGGCAAAATCTCTACAAGCTCTGTAAGTGTTCTTGTGAGGAAAAAGTCTACTCTAGCTAAAACTCTGCATAATTCAAACTTCACACAATATAGAAGTATATGGTAGAGATTAGATCAGAAGGATACAATTTGGTTTTGAAGTTAGAAAATTTGCCCTCCATTTAAAATAAAGATTGGCACATTCCCAGCAGCCCTCTCTGTTTGTGACCCATCAAAATCAACTATGTCTGGGGAAAAAAAAACCACGCATATACAGCAATGTCACAAAAAATAAGATCAAAGTGGGATCTTATGAGAAATATCAATTAAGTTCATTAAAACTTAGTACAGTAGTAGTTAACAGCCAAGATATGGGGCTTTTCGGAAAACAGTATTTCACACAGTCAGTTTCGCACTGACCAGGAAATTTTTGTAAAGTTATGCAGTGGAAGAGTGGTGGGCTCATGACCAGGAATGTACCGTGGTTCAGAACTGAAGCTGAAAAGATCTCTGGAGCAAAGGTGGGCACGGATACTGCACATGTTTAAAGAAGTCTTTAAGTAAGCAATCCCTTCTCCCGGGCTCTCATGGAGCTGTATGATTCCAGAAGAATACATGCTTGATAAGAGGGTGCTGACATGCTGCATCAAGGTGCTTCAGAGTGGACACAGGCATACCATCAGCACCTCATTAACTTAACTGCCTATTTTTCTGGGATTACACAACTACATTGTGACTCCAGTAAAAGATGAAACTTCTTTAAGGAGATACTGAGAGGTACACTCTGTGTGCCTGTTTTGAGGCACTATTTAGCTTTGGGCCTCAAGCACAGCCTATCCCTACACAGAACTCAAAGATCAATGGATTGTGTTAGTGCTCTGCATGTACCTCCTAGTTGGTGGTATATGAGCAACAGCAATGTTTGCTTGTAAAAGAATCATTAAATTAGATTCTCTGCAGTCATAAATGAATTTTTAAAAATTAACTTGTCCTGGTTAAAATATATGTGGCTTTAGCTTACTTGATTTACTTTTATTAATAATCTGATTATTCTTATCAAAATCAAGAAATCAAAAGCACATTATAGGAACGCTTGAAGGCAAAATGTTCACCTCTACCTATTACCTGCCATTACCCTCTATACAAACTATTTGAAACTGGTTCAGTTCATGCCCTTTTTTGCCCCTTTAATACTTAAATGCACAAACACTTGATTGATTAAAGATTAATACTGCAGTAAGCTTTGACAGCTGTCTTTTGTCTGTGTGCTTTTGGGGTGGGGAAATATATGCAATGACAGAGAGCTTGCATCAATATTCCTCTTGGGATCTATTACATGGAAAGAAAATTGCTATTTCAATTCTCCTTTCTTGCTAAAAATAGCAGCCCCGATTGATTCAAGCAAACACAGCACCAGCTTAGCAGTGCCAAATTTAGAAGCCACTAAAGTCCCTAGAAGTAAAAGCTAATGGAGTCTAATATATGCCAAGTCATATTTTAGTAAGAACAAAGAAGGTAAGTATGCAGAGCCTGCAAGTTAGTAAGTCAGTACTAATACATTACATTTAGAGACACCCCCCCAAAAAAAACTTGGTACAAAAAATGACACAAATGTGAATTTTAAAAATGTCATCTTTTTCATTCACAGTGCAACAGTACACCTTCAGACTTCACACATTATCTTTCTTTTATTCATTATGCTTCCCACACATAAATTATGCAAAGATATCACGACATCATCAAATTTGTGCAAAAGAATCACGACATCATGGATTTTATATAAAAGGACCACAAGTATGTAAGTTTATGTAGCTAGACCAAGAAAAATGCAAACAAAATCATACCTGTATAAGGGAATATTTCTCATAGTTGCCCCCTGCCTCCTCACTCCCACTTGAAGCTATAGATGCAAGTTTTGGATGAATAATAGAGGTTGAAATAGGTTTAAGACTCTAAAGCACCGTGGAACCCAAAACTAAAAAGACAGATGTCAGGACATTATAGAGGAATGGGAAACATTACAGATTAGTTGGTTAGTTTAACTGGAAATTTTAAAAGCAATTTTAAATAGCCCTGTTCCATGTTCATAACTACACACGCCATGAGCTTCAGAACTAGTAATTATTATTTCTACTTTGCAGTATTTCTCAGTAGATTTTCAGGCCAAATTAAACAAGTTGCCTACCTTTTATTTTCTCAGCTGAGGACAAATGTCCACATGAACCAATATGCATTTTAAGTCTTCATGGAAGGCTGCTTTAAGCTGCCCTCACTAATAAAGATAGGGCCTTCTTGATGGCAATACCTCAGTTACAGATCATTCTTCAGTACAGAGAAGAGTGTTGTTTTGATGTCAGGACATTTTCTTTTTATTTTTCCAAGTATGCATGGTGTAATTTTAATGCTTTGAAATGTCCTTCAGACTGTATTCCTGTATTGATTTCATAATTATCATGTAATGGCTCCATTTTTTAGTACTGAAATATGTCTGCAGGATACTTGAAAAATATACTAAATATACCACCCTTCCTTGACCAATAACATGTTATTAATTAAAGCTCTGCTAGATCATACTAGGGAACCTCTCTAGTACAATAATACCTCCAGGAAAGCAAAATGCAAACATAATGCTGTTCCCTTTGAACCTGACAGCTTGGCAGCAGAAAGTTCATTTTCTGCATCTCTTTGTTGCTAATGATTGTTTTGATTTTTGCAGCAAAAAAGTTGAAAAATCTAGCTGTGCCCACTCTGTGAGGTTCTGCAGATGCTACAGGCAATGAGCTACTCATTTTTGGTCTAAACTATCTCAGTGAAAGAGAGATTATAAATACCTATGAAACAAAGTTAGGATGAGACAAAATAATGCTGTTATAAAGTGTATATGCTAATGACACCCTTGATTTCCTAACAGCTTTCCTTTATGAACCTGTGACCTTACCTTAATGTAGCCATAGTGTAGCATACAAGGAACACACTGCTTCACTTCCTTACTCAGGAGACAAAATCTATCTTTCATTCTGTTTCCCCAGCTCCCAATAGTCTTACCTTCTTAATCAGCTTAACTCTAACCACTGGCATTGCTAAATTGTTTGGTCCACCATCAGGGAGTTCAGGGTCTGTATGACCACTGCTTGGCCTGTATAACAATGATTCAAATAGTAATGTTGTCAAACCTTTCTCACTGCTTAGGTATAATCTGTACCACCTGCACTTATTTGCTATTATTTGAGCTAATCCCTTATCTTATAGTTAGCTGGCTAATTGTCAAGTAAATCATTTGACCATTTTTAAAATTCTTTTATGTTTTAACTAAACCAATTTCCTTCTTAAGAAAGTAGCAGGACTCTCACTTTGTCAAGGTGCTCTACGGCCAATGTTAAAGGAATATGGTTTACGTTGAAACGTATGAGTATCAGTGTGGAAATACATGGCAGAGACATTTGATGTGTAACACCATCTATCCGTGTTTCAATGCTAATGCTACAAGTCAACAATCCAAGGTGGAAAGTTGGACTATTTTTTAAAGACATGCACTTATATATATTAGGCATTACAGAACTTGGTGAAATGGAGAAAACCAGTGCAACACACTAATGTCTGGATGCTGCCTCTATAGGAAAAATGGCATGAGCCTATACTCAACTAAACGGAATTCAATGCAGCATAACATTTTCATCTTATTTGACAGGGTAGCTACTATAGCCATGAATCAATCTATAGTTAACCACATATCAAATATTGTACAGAAATGTGGCCATGTCAAAGCTCAGTAATGGTAATTTGTATTCAAGTTAAGTTTAACCCAAATACAGTGGTACCTCGGGTTACGAACTTAATCCGTTCCGTGACTCTGGTTGCAACCCG